AAAGGTAATGATCAAACAATTTTGATCTATATTAGCCTAATTTGAAAAATAGGAACTTGTGGTTTGTAATGATGAAACCGCTAGCTGTAACAAAGGGACAGCTGCTTGAATATTTCTGTTTAGCAAGGATTGGAAATGTAAGATTTGGGGAGATGGGTTTGATTTGTTGGTTGGTTGCTTTTGTGGGGGTTTTTTTTTTAAACTATCTGAAACTATAAACAAAATGTAATTGTACTGGGGGGAAAATCATGTAACAGAATGACCAGCTCCAACAGGCATGCATGTCTCTCTTCATGCAAGCTTAGAAGGAAAAAAAAAAGCACATCTTCCCTACTTACATATGTGTACGTTTACGTGTCACAGCAAACAGCTAAGCTTTCAAATCTGGAATAGGCTCAAGCAGAGACCAAAGGGCCAAAGCATACAGTACATCCAAAAGGGGGAAGCAGAGAAATATATTGTGTGTGGTATACAGGAGGGACATGATGGCCAAACAATTACTAAGGTGCATGGAAAAGGAACATGGAGAAGGAAAAAAAACTCAGGATATAGCTAGGAAAAAGTGAAGAGGCACTGCCTTGCAAAATGATGAGTTTCTTCAAATGACAACTGTTTAGGTAACATGGATTGCTTTAATCCCTTGATTTCATTTGTTTCTAACATGACTTTCTATGGGGCAAATGTAAGATTACTTGTCTTGCTCTGAAATGATGGGTGTAACTGTCAACTACTGAGGTTTTGCTCTATTTTACAGACAAATAACTCAAACCAGCATTTCTCCATCTTCTTTTGAAATGCAGTGAGTGAAAAAAAATGTTTTTGGAAGCCCTGACTTTATTTTGTCCATTGTAGGGGCACCTGAGTACTACAATGTAATCAATTTTAAATTATGTAATAATGCTCTCTTGCACATCTGGAAAATAGTTCTCTTAATGGGCTCTGGTGAGATACCAAAGATGGGTGTTCTGTATTATTATTTCATTACCTCTGCAATAAACTCCCCTACTGACTTAAGTGTGAGCTAATTCAAAATTTTCTGTGAGCTTACCTATATTGCAAAGCACATGTTTATTTACTTTAGTTTCTAAGTAAATATTTAACTTGTTAGTCAAATCAGATATTCAAGAGAGTGGACCTCAAGTTTTCACACTATACTTAAAGCAGGAAGTGTAGTTACAACCTTAGCATCTTGGACACATTTACTACTTTAGTTCTCCAGCTGTCTAAGGTATTTATAGTGTGCCAGTCATCACAGTATCTAGGCACTAAAGACTCCTCTCCTACCAGATGGTGGGTAAGACAGTCATATTCAAAAGGGCAGGATTATAAAAAGGAGGGGGGATTTTTTTTCAAATTCATTTACTTCTTGCTAATAAAGCCAGCCACATAAAATGTCTTTTCCCTTCATCCATCTTGGCATTGCACCTCTCATTACTGGACTAATATCATCACCAGTGTGTAACCTTGTAATAAAAATGCAGTAAATAGCATAATCACTTGTGATAATTAATGAGTGTGGGTGTGTTCATACAGTTATTTTTTTTCCCTTCTGAAATAAAATAGGACTATACATAGGTAGAGTGATAATATAGGATGTGTATCTGTGCATTAGATATACACAGACTAATGCTGAATATAGATATGGGATAGAAATATTATAGACTCCCATATCTGTAGTATTGAAAAATTCATCCACTCAAATCTTACAATGGGGAAAGCAAGGAAAAAATCTAAACAGCAGGATACAACAATAAATGGGAAAACAGCAATAGAAAAAGCACACTAGGTTAATATAGGAAAACTAGTTTCTTTATTGAGAGATTGTATATTAGTACTAGTGGAATTGTGTGTAACAATGTCATGCACACAATACAAAAAGGCAAGGCCCACCATGCTATGGAGGGGCAACAGAACAAAAGCAGCATACAATGAGCAGATGTATAGGCTACAGCACATTACATTTCAGCAGGGTATGTCTCTACAGAGAGATTTACATCAGAAACTAGGTAATGTAAAAAAATACAGACCATGCTTTAGTTTTAGTACAAGAAAAAAGGTGAAGATACACAACCAAAGGATATTTGATACAGAAAATTACCCACAAAATAAGAACAGGAAGTAATTTAGCACAGCAGAAAATGTTATCCCTGTTTAATGGAAAACCATTTTGCCAGTAGTCTCTTTTAAAAAAAAATAATTTCATTAAAATTGCCATTTAATATGCTTCTTTGGAGTAGTGTTAATTGATCAGAGGTTTATGTCCAATTTACACACACTAAATAAAGTGTTTAGATCATTTCTATAACAGGCAATTGTATATACTGGATGTTTCAGCTTTCAAAGAAACAGATGGAGGCCAGCTGTTGAAAGTGGTGTAATTTTGGCCAAGAGTATGTGTGATATATAATGTACAAAGATGCAGTACCCCTTTGTATGACAAAGTCTTCGAATAATCCTTATTAACACTCAAGGTGGAGGAATATTCAGACATTCATATGCTTTAGTGTCCCCACTTATTCACAGATCTTATTCTGCAGCTATTTTTCAAAGTCTTTTTTTAAATTAAGGCAAATTTAACTGCAGATTTTATTATTGTTTTTACTTATGATTGACTGTAATTTGTCATAAGCACATTCTAGATGGAAAACTAATGGTTGTCTAAATAACTGGGGGGAAAAAAAACTCATAAGATACTGCATCCACCAACTAAAGCAAAATGAATCCACTTAACAGGAATTTACAGTGCAATGTACTTAGCTAAACAAGATGAAGATACAAAAATGGCTGTTATTATCTACAGCTATTCTGAAATGGCCTATTTTCTACACTACTACAATGAAATTAAAAAGAGCAGATTTAAGCTTACAGTCTGTCTAATAGTTTTACAAGAAAACTGTGGTTTAGGACTTCAGGTTTAAGCATTAGTATCCTCTATCACAAGGGTCTTTTATGGCTCCTTTTTATGGCTCATGTATTATCAGCCCCTTTACAGTTTCTCTGTGGATATGTTCAGATTTAAGTAAAATGAAAGAGCTCAAAATGAAATGTAAATTTGGGGGAGAAAAGCAGAAAATCCCTCCCCCTCACTAAAACTAATTTGAAATTGAAAACATTAAATTGCATCCTGTAATGGTATTAAAAATCAGTGTAATTAATGATGATAATGATTTAATCGGGATAATTATACTTTGGGGCTTAACATCAGTCTTAATTATTTTAATGTATTCCTAGTAAAAAAAAAATCTTAGACATTCTCAAATAAGAATAATTGCACAGATGAGAGTGTTACAGTGGAGTCTCATCAATCTAAGCCTTTTTGGAAATTGACAGACAGCCCATAGAGAGGGGATACTGCAGCTTAAATATCAATGCTTTCCTCAGATGGATACAGGAAATGGTTAAGAGAGGGGTGTCACAATACAGCTAAATGCAGAGGCAGAGGGCTACAGCACACAGCAGCAAGTTGACCATTCACTGTGCTACACAATGAAGAAAAAAAATAAAGATTTGATAAATGCAAAATGTCATCATCCCATCATCACAATAGAGACTGCAGTTAACAATGCCACTATGTTCAACCTGGGTTATATGAACACATACTGTAAAGGGAAATAAATTTTAAAGCGGTTGGGCAACAGCAGGAAAGAAAGACCAGATTCTGATCTTAGTGACACTGAGGATAAATCAATGCATCTGAAGCCATCCGTGCACTGAAGTCAGTGGACTTACTCTGGATTTAGAGCAATGTAAACTCAGATCAGATTCTGCTCCGAGGAGTCTAATTGTGCTAGATTTTAACCCATCTTTTACTGGGTCCCCCTCCCCCGTGATCAAGATCTCAATGGGAATTACAGCAGTGCATCATCTTTAAGAGGAAATGCATTTTATATGGAAATAAAGCTATAGGGTCTAAACCAACAATAGGCCAAAAGGGGCTGGGAGGTCAGGCTGGGAGTACATTTCCATGGGAAGAAATGCAAGGAGACAGAAAGGCTGATTTAGAAATATTAATGGTTTTTAATGCATCCTGATTTTGATAGAAAGAAAATGGAAGGAATGAAGGAGAAAGGGGGTGGGGAAAAGGTTTAAGTTCATTGTCTGTAGCAGAATGTGGGGTGGGTGGATGGGAAGGTGGAAAAAATATGCGATGGCCATACACATCCCATATTAAAATATCTGTTTAAAAAAACCCAAATCATGCTGCTTTTCTGAAAAAAAATATCTCTGAGCAAAAAGTGCACCATGGAGCTGAGGTCTGCTGTGGATTGATATGCTGCTCTCCATAATCAAGGTTACAATTAGAATCCCAAAAGAGAGGAGGACACATTGCAGGAAAGGGGCAAAGGGGGAGTGGAAGGGTGAAAGTCCAACAAGAAAAATAAATAAAAGGCCCCTTAAAAAACGGCCCGCTCATTCCAAGGCTATTTTAGTCCATTACAGAAGAAACAGCAAGGGACAAAAAAAAAGGGGGGGGGAGATTAAAAAAGGGTGAACATGCTCTCGGCTCACAAGAGAGCGGGGGAGGGAAGAGATAAGCTATGAAGAGACCTCAGCTTGTAAATAAATAATAATAGAAGCACAGAACAGTGGTTAAACAGAGCACACGCCCCACACCCAACATAAAACTCCTACCACCTGAATGCACAAAATTTAAAAAAAAAAAAATTATTTCGCTCCCGACCCCACCTGGGCACAGAGGCAGAGCCAGGCTTGGCTTTTCCCCGGAGATCTCGATTTTTATCAGGTGGGGGAGGGGATCCGAGTGAAAGGAAGGAGGCTCTCAGAATCCATGGGAGAAAAATCTGAAATCGTCCCACCGCTCGGATCCTTTCGGGCTTTCGTTCCTCCCCGCCCCGTCTGATCCGCAAACAACAGAGACAAGGGTAGCTGGGCAGGGAGGGGGGGGGAGGGGACGGTACCCTGCAGATCAACCAAAGGATCGTGCCTTTCCCCAGCGCCCCCGCCGCCCCGAGAATAAGCCCCGAAGGATAAAGCGATACCTCTGTTTCGTACAGAGCCAAACACTGGAAGAACAAGATAGCCGACGTGCACTAAAACCATCCTGCCGGCGGCTGCGCTCCCTTTGTTGTGCGGCTCCTCGCGGGAGGTGGCAGGGGTAGCGGCGCTGCTGACGGCCGAGGCTGCTGCTGGCTGGGGGACAGATGGCCCATGGAAATGGTCCCTTCGAATCCCCTATATACATTCAAATGTGGAGCTGGGGCTGCAGCTGCCTGGCACACAAAGGGACGGGCAGCCAATGGGAGGGAGGCCTGGGAGGAGGGGGTGGTGGGTTCTTTCTTGCTGTGTGTGGGGTTTTTTTTTTTTTTTTAATTATTATTATCTCCAGCCTGGGTCTCTGTGACAGGGAGGAGACCCAATCAGGGGCTGGGCTGGAGCCTGCCTTGCGCCCTGCTGGCTAAGCTGCCTCCAAACAAGGAGATGGAAACAAATTAGGGCCAGGGTCTGGAAGGCTGGGATTTCACCCCCGCGGTCATAGAGACACGCACCCCCGCCAGGCGCACACCAGACACCACACCCTACACCACAGAGGCAGGCGTGTGCACCCACAGAGACACATGGGGGGATCCAGAGACACAGAGATGAACAGAAAGCACACCCGCTCCAGAGCCGAGTCCCAGAAAATGGTGTGTGCAGGAGGCAGAGAGAAACATGCATTTGTAAGCATGCAGAGCCAGACTGTGTGAGGTATTTAGGTGCCTAAAGAGGCAACAAGGCACTTTAATACCTTTACAAATCTGGCTCACCCACCCCTATATACAAACTCACACTTGCAGCCTGTATACAGACACACACTTGCAGGCATTTGTATGTAACAGTCCACAAAGACACCCTCCCCCCAAACACTGATAGGCACGCACACGCCCACACACACACACTATGCATACATCAAGAGATCCACAAGTATACAGACACGACACACCCAACATATGAACACAGACACAAACGCATGTACTACTACTCTTATGAAAAACTCCTATAAAAGCTGAGAGAATGGTAACCGTACTATGGAGCTCTGAAGAATGGTTGGAGACTCCAGAAATGTCTTTATTAAATCCTAAAAATAGTCCTGTAGCACCTTAGGGTACGCCTACACAGCAGAGTTATTTGGGAATAACATAGTCCACATCTCACTACAAGCAGTTATTTCAACATAATAAAATAATGTTGAGCTGGAGGACTTCTTACTCAGATTCCTGTAACATTTTTACAAGGAATAAGGGAAGTTGGAGGAAGAGTTCCTTTTCTCGGACTTCCTGCTGTGTAGACAGCGCCCAAAGCCAAAATAAGCTATTTCGACTTAAGCTTCATAATTGACATAGCTCAAGTTGTGTAGTTTATTTCTGCTTTAGCCCTGAGATATAGACGTACCCTTAGAGACTCACAAAAATATGTATATATTTTCATGGGCTTTTGTGGGCAAAATCCACTTCTTCAGAAGATCATCTCATCTGAAGGGTTTTGTCCATGAAAGCTCATGATTATATATATATAAAGAGAAAGAGAGAGAGAGCGCTAGTATTGAAGGTGCCAAAGGACTACTCGTTTTAAAAGTTATACACTGCTACCCCTTTGAGACTTTATTAAATCATGTGGCTTTTCAAAGTAGTTTCTGTAAAATCCAATGAAGTATCTCTTTTGGTTTAATTCCTGTTGAATTCTACAGGTATTCTCCATAAAGGCACAGACAGGTACATATAAAGACACACAATGAGGCATAAACACAGTCTATACATAGTCTACACAAATATATACAGAAGTGCATGCACACACACAGGCATGAACCCACACAGAGAGGGCACAAATAAGTACACTATGCCTGCATCTAGACAGTGGTACACAACATGCACACTACATATCATATACCCTATACTCACACAATGTGCATGAGTGTGTGTGTGTGTGTGTCACTGTGTAGCTCTGCTCTCTCAGGAAAATAATATTCTACTGAACAAGACAAAAATGGTAAGAACTATGGTTTGGAATTGCCATAAAACAGCAAGAAAATGAAGGAAATCTCCATTTGAAAATACTGCCTGAAATCTGTTTGGAGGCCATTCTGTGTTACGCATACCACAACATACTACAGAAGCATAAATTATTGGTCATGTGACAATGTAGTTCCTTTCTTAATTTCTTCTAATACTGAACCAGGAAAGTTATGAAAATAAGGACAACTGTATTCGCCCCCCCAACGCTATTTGGTTTCCTTTTTCTTCCCTCTTTGCCTCAAGCTAGAGCTTTTTCCCAGTCCTTCTGTGGTCTGGTTTCCTGATACCAATTTAAAGAAACAGGGCACATAACTTTGACTGAGGCTATAGCAGAAAAAAGTTATTTTTTCCTTCATAAAATCTGATGCTAGTGGAACTAATTGAAGAGACTTGGAAAGAACATAATCCCAGTGAAAAGGAACAAAAAGTAGCAATATAGAATGGTAAAATCTGGGAAATGTAAAGACACACGGAAAGAACATACAAAATAGACACCATCCTAAATTATACACTCTTGAACCTCATAATAAATGCATCATGAAGTATCAGATCAGCTACATATAAGCACTGCAAAAAACAAGCAAACAGAAAAACTTCTATGGACCCCACTATATAAAGAAACCACTAGATAAATACAAGCCACTTCAAGCTGGTTGAAAAGGGCCTTCCACCTACACCCAAACAAATCCATTTCCCAGTTTTCCCAATCAAATACAAACATGCCCCTCTCTTTCTCTCTCTCTCTCTCTCTTTCCCCCTCTCTCCTGGAAAACTGAACATTTTAAACCAACCCCCTCCCCATCCCAACATTTTCATTTTTAAAAAATCATATTTGGCTTCAGTTTTTCTGCAAAAACTGCATCAGCTACAAAAAAAAAATCACACCTCGTTTAAAAAAAAATCTGTGAAAACCAACTGACATTTTTGACCGAGTCAAAAACCATTATCATTGATGCTGTGTGACCGTACAAGTCAAACTAGTCACTATGTTGGAACAAGATCACCTCTAATTCAAGAATATATATAATGGAGCAAAACCCTGGGAAAAAAACCCTTCAGCAATTCTGTAAGCAAGTAGTACGTACACACAAGGACATTTCCAACAGCAGAGGAGAGTAAAACTAGGACAGTTCCGTTCCTCCTACTGATCGATATCTAAAACCATGTATTGTGCTCCTGGTTTTACCTCACTAACAGCAAAAGCAATTGAGAGCTACAAGATAAATGCAAAAAATGCCTCTTCACTGGCGTGTCATTTCAATCCCAGCCTGAGTAATACTAGTCCACATGCTTCCTTCCAGCAAAAAGTACTCAGAAGGAAATATATTAATATGCAGAAACCCCATGGCTCCATTGGCAGGACTAGAAGGTGTCAAGTGGGTGGGGCTAAAACAGACATTGGAGGATTTGGGATCCATAAGTAAGCTGCCCCCCAACTGGATGGCTCCTGCCCAGCTGAATGGAGCAATTCCTCTACTCCCTCCCTCCCCCCGTCATGGTGGCATGACGGGCCCAGCAGCCATGCTGCTCTGTGTCTCTACAGGGGCAGTCACAGGGAGGCATTCGGTAGTCACGGCTCCCTCAAGCAGAATTAACTTTCTGGGTGCTTAGCCACAAATCTGCATGTGCGCTGCTTCTCCACTGTGTTTTGCCCACTTTTTATTACCTTCAGGGATGAATTAAAGAGGGTGAGGGTAGCTACACAAAGACGAGCAAACTCCCATCTAAATCTCTTTCTACCTCCTACAGCACCAGTCATATTTCCGTCACAGCTTTGCTCCTCTCTCCATTGGAGGGGCGCATGTTTCAGAGGTTATGCCAATAACCTGTAAGTGACTTTTTGACCCCCCCCTTGAAGCCCCATTCTATCTCTAACACAAGGATGCTATTACTGTAGTGTCTGAGGTCCTTACGGTAGTTATCCTCATCACATTCCTGTCTGGAGGGAAGTGTTATCTGCATTTTGCAGCAGCACTGGGAAGCGGCTTGACCCCCCCATCACACAGGGAGTCTGCAATGACTTGTACTTGTGTCTCCCAAGTTCTAGATGAGCATCCCAATCCTGGGGACCATCCTTCTTCCTTTAACTGATTTCAATGGGGCTCCACAGTCTGCAGGCCCTCACCCACACAGACTTGCTTGGAGAATCAGGACCTTCTTTAGGGGTCCAGAGATAAGGAGCTAGCTAACTTTAGCCAGACAACTTTGGCCATGGTTTAGAAACATGGTACATACTTGATGATTCTGTATAGTATTTAATTTGACTGTCACTTGTTTCCCTTATGGTGCCAATAAAATGTGTCATTGTTTTTTGCAATGGTATTCTAGCTGTATTGGTCCCAGGAGACATTCTGGTCTGAAGTGCTTTGTGTAGCTCGAAAACTTATCTCTTTCATCAATAGAAGCAGTCCAATGAAAGGTATTACATCACCTAGCTTGTCTTGTTAATAAAATTAACTGAATTCAGTGGATACACACTCAGGAAAACTTACACATGCACAACATTATTCTGAATGTATTTATATGTCAAGGGATATATTTCTGCCCCTTCACATAATCAAAGCCAACCTTTAAAAATGGGCGAGCTAATCTGATTGGTTTGTACCAGCCTTCCACAGGCAAAACATCCCTTCCTGAATCATCAAAAACATCCCTGCAAATGTGCCATTTAACTATGATACATGTATTTTTAAATAGCATTTAAGCTGTATTGGCATTTCAGCTTTCATTTAAAACACACAAAAGCACAGACTTTCAGCACTGAAAAAAAACTAGGCATCTATTCTGTCCTGAATTCGCCCCCAGGCACAGGGAGGAAGAGTGGGATGGAGGAGGTTGGGAAGAGGAGGGAACTAATACAACAGCAACGTAAGGCCAAAGTGTCCATCTGGATTTTCAGCTTTAATTTTGAATTACAGTTCTGTTCTGTTGTTGATTTAGGAAAAACCTTTATTCTTTCCTAAATATAGTTTTTTGTGGTTGAGCTCATGGGTTTATTTCCTATGCAAATCATATTATATCATCTGAAGGATATTATATGTGGAAAGAGAAAACACAATTTTTCCCCTATCAACAATATGGCTACGTCTAGACTGGCATGATTTTCCGCAAATGCTTTTAACGGAAAAGTTTTTCCGTTAAAAGCATTTGTGGAAAAGAGCGTCTAGATTGGCATGAACGCTTTTCCGCAAAAGCACTTTTTGCCGAAAAGAGCGTCCGTGCCAATCTAGACGCGGTTTTGCGCAAGAAAGTCCCGATCGCCATTTTTGCCATTGGGGCGTTTTTGCGCAAAACAGTTTT